CCTCTCTCTTTCTTCTCTCTCTCACTCCCCTCTCTCTGTCTCTCTCCACCTTCCCCCTCTTTGCTCTCTCTCTCCTCTCCCTTAACTTCTTTCTTATTTTAAAAGTAAACAGATGAACCCCCAAACAAATCTCCATCAACTCCACACCACAACTCTAGCTACAGGTTTTCTTGCCTTTCTCAGCAAAATATCTTGGAAGAGTCAACTACAATCACTCTCTCCATCTCCTCACCTTCTGCTTCCTGCTCAGCATGGTTCAACCTGGCTTGACACACTGTTCCACTGTCTCTACCACAGTCAGTTGAGACTTCTTTGCCCCTATGGTTAATAGACCTTTCTTTCCTTCCTCATCTTCCTTTACTCTCAGTAGCATTTGACGCTGTGCCCATTCCCTTCTCTTCAAAATTCTCTCACTTGGCTCTGATCACATGGCTTTGCATTGAAGTTGATTGATTTTGGATTGGTTGACTGGTTTTCCATGAGCTGTTTCTTCTCAGCTTTCTTGATTGCTTCTCTTCTGCTAACCACTTTTAGAGGTTGCAGCATCTCAGGTTGTCTCCTAGGCCCTTTTCTGCCTCTCTGCTCTTGTTACGTGGAGACCTCTGCTACTTACTATCCTGCTTTACTTACTACCCACTGCTTTACTTACTACTCGGCATGCTTATGGCCTCTGATCCATGTCACTGACCAGGTCACTCTTCTGAGCTCAAGCCCACACAAATCCCACTTGGATGGAGAGCATGTATAAAGCTGAATTCCTCCTCTTTTCCTGCCTCCTAATTGTGTTCCTCTCCCAGTGTTCCCTCTGTCAGCATATAGGCTCCTTTCTCTCTGTTGTTCATGGAAAAAATCTGGAAGACAGTTCCATGCCCTCCCTCACCCCTGAAATATAAGGAAAGCATTTCAGTCTCCCAAGTATATTGTTTAAAGGCTTCAGTTTCTCCCTCTTGTCACTGACATTGCTTCCCTGCCTATGCCAAAGTCTGACACTGAAACACCAAGAATGGTGTATTTTCTGGTTTCCTCATGTTCCTCTGGCCCCTTCCAATCTACCCTTCACTGTAATAAGAGTGAATGGCAGAATATCCCCTTAACAACCTTCATTGGCTCCTCACTGCCCTTAGGGTAAAGCACAGTCTTGTCTTGTTTCTTTGACATGGCTTACATGACCTTCCACTTTCATGGGGCACCCTCCACACACATGATACATTTTCCCATCACGTCAGACTGTTTTTGGTTTTCAAAAGAGCCATCAGTGTACTGGTTAGCATTATTGTGAGAGACTGCATTTGGCTTCAGTGAATTATTATTTTGGAGATTCTTTCAATATGTTTGCCCATTTTATGATGGACAATTTATGAGCGCACCTGTCCCTTACAGAGAAGCAGTGAAACCCAAACTCCAGCCTCTTAGGATAAGTGGATTGTGTTGGAGTCCAGTGATCTCAGCACATGAGACAGCTTAAGTAAATTCTGTGTCACCACGAGAGCACTAAAGAGCTCTCCTTGGCGATGATTTAGTCATAGCCCCAATCTGCAATCATAAATTCTTAGTAAGAAGTTGAGCAGCATCAGGCACAAACCTATCTTATTAGAGTTAGCATATACTTTTCTTTCCTACAACATAATAATATATGAAGTCCATCTTAATAGAGCCTCAAGTTCTTACTTAGAGTGTTTAGCATCTTATTAACATAAAAAGCAAAGCATCCGTCTTCTTACCATATCACCAAACGAAAACATGCTTTCTGTTCACTTTCTCAGCTATTATAGTATATTGCTAAATGTTTGGGATAGAAAAGTGCAGAGTTTAATTAGAAATTCTTTTATGTCCTTCTCTCAGGTAAGTGCAGTACCAAAGCCTGCTTATTTCAGGAATACTTATGTTTAGTTTCCCCTATGACCTTTAATTTTGCATTGCATTATTTTTTTACTCAGTAGCTAAGTGAAATACAGCATATATTTTTGCTATTCTTATATAACATATGTTTCCTATATCTTACATCTTGGAGTTTTGTTGTGAATATATGTAATCCTTGTTTGTCCTTTTGCAAAGAATGGAAATTCTGGGATTGGTGCTCAGTTCAAAGTTTCAATCTTTAAAAATCCTATACTTGAAGAATGAATGCATGTCATCCAAAATAAAGTATTCCTCAATCCTCACAAAGGTCTTGAGATGGGAAAGAGAAACTTGCTGGAGCTTAACTTCTTTTTGCTGTCCTTTCATGTAATTTCTTAGGAACAGGTCTGAAAGTGGTCCTGAATTTAAATGGAAAGTTTAGAAAGACAATTATGCTTACTATAATTCTAACCCTTCTATGAGGTTATAAATTTTCTTTTTTCAATATTAATAGAGAAGCTGATTTGTTGAAAATCACCCTTAGCATTTTGAGTTGGAAGATGTTACTAGACCCATTGAAAATATTGTTATGATTGTTTAAATGTAGATGACTTTAAGATTATATCATCAAAGAGCTGTTGATCAAGTGGTAAATTTAATGAAGTTTCCCTACAAAATGCACAATCACAATGGATTATAGTGGAATGATATACAGGCAATCAACAACCTCACGTCGTACTAACATACAGATAGATCCTTGTCATCAAAGTGGTATGGTTTAATGAACCCAAACACTCCCTAGGTGTGCTACTGTTTCTTTTCTTCTCTTTTATTTTATTTGAGTTGGAGTCTCACTCTGTCACCCAGGGTGGAGTGCAGTGTCACGCTCACCGCCAACGCAGCATCGATCCGCTGGGCGCAGGCGACCCTTCCACCTCAGCCTTCCAAGTAGCTGGAACTACAGGTGCACACTACCAAGGCTGGCTTATTTTTTGATTTATTGTAGAGATGAGGTCTCTCCAAGTTGCCCCGGCTAGTCTCAAGACCATAGGTTCAAGCAATTCTCTCACCTTAGCCTCCCAAAGTGCTGGGATTATAGGCTTGAGCTACTGGGCCTGGCCACTGTTTCTTAAAAGTGATACATCTTTATGTAGGAGGACTTTAAAACAAACACAATGCCTGTGAGCCCTTTGGAGACTTCTAGTGTGTTCAGCAATGTGGTCAGCGCCCATAGCCATTTTCACTATGTCTCTCTGGTTCAAGGCCATGGGCGATACCCTTTGCAAACTCTTCAGCTCAGCATTCCAGCCTTTCCACCAGTTTTCCACCCCAATACAGTCAGCCTCCTCTCCTCTGCGTTCCTCCATGGGGCCTTCACAACTGTCAAAACAAGTTTCTGCTCTTTCCTACACAGAACTTGGTCTTCCTCGTTTCCACATCTTGACACATGCTGTTTTTTCCTTTTATCTGTGCCAATTCATGTTCCATGTGACAAGCAGATTACGCATGACTTATCATTTTTCCAATAAACAAATAAACAGCTTTAATAATTAGTTCCATGTGACTCTTCAAAATCTCTCTTTACCTCTGCATTCTCTATGTGTGAAATTCAGTCATACATTGTGTTATTTTCTATCTTTGAAATTTTGGCAGAGCATTTAAATTCATTCTATCTCTATATTGAGAATAATGCCAGTGCTACCTAGTGAATTTGTTGTAATGAGTAAATGAGATAATGTATGTAGGTATTTAGAACAGGTTTGGCACATGATAAGGTCATGATAAATATTGTTACTGTACTAAAACATGTACTCACATTCTTTGTATACAATAAGTGGCTGAATGTTTTCTAAGTATTTCTTGTGCTCATTTTGTCCAGAAAAATGCCTCTTACAGGAAGGGCATTCAGAACTCTCTAGATAACAATGCTGAGACTTATGTCCCTTATTAGTTAAAACATTTTAGTCACATGGACTTTGTCTCCATCTTGACCTATTTGAATTTCTACATTTTAAAAAGTTATTAGCTGATATCAAATGGTTGACGATTGGTAATCTTAATGCAGATAATAGTTAAGGAGGTAATCCATTTTTGGCACTCAGGACAGTGCCTGGCATGCAGGGAGAACTCAATAAATCCATTAAACAAAATACCCAGTAATACCCTGAAAATTATTGTTTCTTTTATTACTTAAAATTTGCACATTCATGACATCCCAATTTTTGAGATGACCTATTTAAATTGGGAAAGAGAAGCATCTTACCAGATGTTTTCATTAAAATTTTTTAGCAGATCTGTGAAAATCTTCTAAATCAATTCAATAAATACCTAGAAAGCAACCACCAGCAGCTCGGACCGTATTATGTGTTAATTTCCAAGGATGATTTGTTGAATATCAAAATCCAAAAACGAGTTCTGAGGAAGTTTTGCCAGCTTCCATGTTGGATTACTTGAATTCCATGTTTTAAAAATGCAAAATTTTGTTCTAAAGGAAAACAAAATCTTCACTTAATACGTTTTCACAGATACTTTACCCTTTAAAAACAGCAGGTTTTACAAAGCAAAGTTTTTCACTGTGTGTTAATGACATTTAAATAGTAACAACATAAAATAAAAAGCAAAAACCTTGGGGCCAGAAGATATTTCCAAAGATATTTCCATTGAGTTTCTTTCCTTTGAGAATTTCCTAAATTGTCTCTCATACCCAAACTCTAGCAATAATTTGCCTTTAAATGACAATTTTAAAAATAACATCACTGATGTGTTTTATTACTGTCCTTGGTCACAAGACCATTTTGATAGACGTATTTTTTGAGATACCCTGCTTGCAGAACATCTCAATATTTTTGCCTTGTATACGTTGTTTTAGAGTAAGATTGGGAGTTTTAGAATGAGACTGGGACCTACTTCAGAATATTGTCTCTAAACATCGGCAAGGTCCTCATTGTTAGCTCTGCATTGCAGTTTGCAACTGTCCCAGTGATCCACATTTGCCAAGGCATCGGGCGGGAGCCTGAAACTCAGCCCCGGGCCGCGGGGGCGGGATTAATGTCCAAAGCGCAACCCCGACTTCCAACTGATTGGACGGAACGGCGTGGGCGGGGCCTCCCGACCCGGCCTACGGCTTCCGTCGCTAGGGACGCTCAGCCCTGGCGGCCGCGATGGAGCAGGACGAGGGGCTTAAGGCCTTGGACAACATCGTCACGCAGTTCAGCACCTACGAGGACTTCCTCGACTCGCAGATCACCACCGTGGACCTCTACTACCTCGAGGTGAGGGTTGCCTGGAGGCCCGGGTGTGCGTCCCCTGGCGGCGGGGCCAGACGCCGCGGTTTCGGGAGAGGGCTCCCAACCGCTGGACAGGGGAAGCCTCGGGAACCCCCGCCCCGCGCCGCCTCCGTCCCGGCGGCATCTGGGTCGCGCGTCGCCCGGTCTGGACACACCTGTGCGCACCCGAGGCGTGGACTCCTGCTTTCCCCGCGCCCCCGCTTCTTCTCTAGCGGGAGGGGCCCGCGGGGAGTCCCAGGATGGGCGGGGCTCGGGACAGACACCGGTCTCTCCCACCGTGGCCGGTTTGTGTTAAGGGACAGAAGGCGGCGTCTTTCCTGGCGATGGGCGCTGGGTTCTAAACTTGGCGATCACAAAGTCTTACAGGGACCCGTGCGCACGTCGGGGGCTTGCGGGCACATTCCTCACTCGAGCTTGGAGCTGACGACCCCTATGAACGGCGACAGTAGAAACACCCAAGGAGAAGGGCGAAGCGGGACCCGCTGGGCGGCAGCCGGCCCCTGCACCCCCACTCCCTCTGGAATGGGGTCCTGGTCTTCCGGGAAGACCCGGCCAACGGGAAATAAGCTACCAGGCCCGGGAAACTGGGCGGGGGACGGGAGGCCTGAAGCCCCGCGGGCTCTCGGCTACTCCCCCACGACCAAGGCGAACACAGGCACAGGCACCGACCTGCAGTCCTGGAAGGCCGCCTGGCCGCGGGACAGACTCGAGACAGAGAGCAGTTGCCACCAGGGGCGCCAAGTAGCTCAGCGTCAGGGAGGGACGTGGGTCCCGCCGCCAGCCTCCCTACACTTCTAAGCTGCAACAGTGAACTCTGCATTTTCGGGGATGGACACTTTGGGGCTTTAAAGATCTAGATAAAGCGGGGGTTTCTCTTAAATATGAATTGCAGACTTCAAAAGTGCCTATTCTTCAAAACACATTGATGTGCTAGATGTGAAAAAAAAAATTTTTTTTTTGAGTTGGAGTCTCTGTCGCCCAGACTGGAGTGCAGTGGCACGCTCACGGCCACCGCAGCCTTGACCTGCTGGGCTCCGGCGATCCTTCCGCCTCAGTCGTCCAAGTAGTCGGAACTACAGGCGCACACTACCACGCCAGGCTAGTTTTTGATTTTTATTGTAGATAGGAGGTCTCGCCAAGTTGCCCGGGCGGGTCTCGACCCCTCAGGCTCAGGCAATCCACTCGCCTCGGCCTCCCAAAGTGCTGGAATTACAGGCTGAGCCACCGAGCCCAGCCGTGGAAACAGAAAAATCTAATTTTAGCGCTCTCTCTGCCACAAACAAGTTGTGTGACCTTGGGCAAGTAATTTAGTCCTTCTTTTTATTTTTTATTTTTATTTTATTTTTTTGAGTTGGAGTCTCACTCTGTCGCCCAGACTGGAGTGCAGTGGCCGCTCCCGGCCACCGCAGCCTCAACCTGCTGGGCTCCGGCGATCCTTCCGCCTCAGCCTTCCAAGTAGCCGGAATTACAGGCATGTGCTACCACGCCCGGCTGATTTTTTGATTTATTGTAGAGATGAGGTCTCGCTGCCCAGGCGGGTCTCGAACCAGCGGGCTCAGGCAATCCACTCACCTCAGCCTCCCAAAGGTGTGGGATTACAGGCTGAGCCACCGAGCCCGGCTAGTCCTTCTTTTTAAAAATAATAGAATTAACTACTAAAAATTAACTGATAACGAAAGTATCTGTTAAAAACTAAGGTAGGTGGTATTCCAGCATAACTTCTGGCTTCAAAAACAAATGTCAAAATATTTTGTACAGGTAATATGTTTAAAGTCATGAAGTTTCGTTTTATGTCTTGCATCTAAGACACCGAAGTGAAGGGGAAAAAGTAATACTGCTAAACGATGCTTGCATCTAAATTTTTGTGTATTTAAATAAGCAAAAATGAAATGCAGATAGTAAACATCCTGATAGAATAAAATCATCTTTGTAGCACTGTGGAAGGCTGGCACACAAGTCTAGTGTCATGAAGAGTGGCTGCGATATTTTCTAAGGCAGAGTTTTTCATGTAAGGAATTAAAAGACATTAATATTTATTAGGGATGAACAATTAATACTCTGTGTTTCATCAGTCAGAACTTTAAACTGAAACTTTAAAATGGAGGTCGTGACTGTATTTGGGGGAATGATAAATTTACCTTTAAATTTGGCACTGGTTAGGCTTCTTCTTATTATACTTTCAGAAAAAAATAAGGTGAAAATTTAGTTGAATAATGAGAAGGCAAGTATATATATCTTTGGATTGGTTAATGACAGTTTTTAAAGTGCTATTAGCTCTGGATACCTACAATCCCAAATACATCTTATAGATGCGGGTTAATTACACGCTGAGGTCACGCAGAAGCAAGTAGACTTCTCAGAATTCCTTCAGTAATATGGTGAGCAAGTTTTGTGGATTATGGTTCATGCCATGTGAGGCAATCCTTGTTTTCTCTTTCTCTCTCTCTCACTTTCTCTCACTTTCTCTCTCTCTTTCCCTCTCTATCTCTTCCTCTCTCCCTGTCTCATTGTCTGTTTTTCTTCCCCCTCCCTCCCCGCATGTGTGTGTGATCAGTAATTGACTTTGGTTTGAATGGTGCAAATTTTTTAAGGCTTTTATTTTAATTTTGCATTATGTACAACATGATGTTTTCAACTGTATATATATTGAGGAATGGTTAAGTCAAGCTAGTTAACATGTTTATTGCATCACATTGTTATTGTCTTTGTGGTGAGAACACTTGAAATCTACTCTCTTGACATTTTAAAAGAATATAATATATTGTTATTAGCTATAGTTGTGATGTTGTTCAATAGCTCTCTTGAACTTATTTGAATGGAACACATTTTAAACAATAAATTAGAGATAGCATATCCTAGTTAGAAGAGCCTAGAGTTGTGAGATTTGAGTTCTCACTCTGCAGTGTTGTGTTTTTAATCAACTTGATATTCCATTATTTTACCTGCAAAATGAAAGACTGGGCTGGGCTACATTAAGTTTCTTTCTGTCTGTGAAGTTTTATGAGTCATCTACACTCTCTCTGCTCGTGCATACATCCATGTATTTATCCAGCCATCTTTTTATCTAGTAACCCTTCACCAAGAGCCTACTGAGACAGATGCTGTCTCACTTGCTGGGAGTTTAAATACGAATCTGTTCTAGATTTCACCTCAGGAACCTACGTTAAATGCAGTGCTAACAGTCTAGTCTAAGTTTTATTTATTCAACAAATATTTATCTAAAAACTCACTATCTTCCAAGTACTCTTTTATCATGTAATACAGGCATATGCAAGCCATGGCCCATGGGCTGAATGTGACCCTAGACAGCTAGGAATGCAGCTTCACAAAATTTTTTATCATCATGTGTTTTTTTAGTGTTTATTTTCCTCATGACCCCATGCATAGTTCTATTTTTGAAGTTCACTATAATGCCTTATTCCTGACATTACTTTTTGGCAGCACCCACATTTGTGAGCAGCTGTTTTCAATGATGAAGCACATGAAGAGTAGAGTTCAAACAAACAGTTCTGACAAGCACCTTGAGAACTCACTAAGAATAGTGGCAACTTCCATCTACCAGACATTGATTAGGTTTACAAAAACAAGGTCAAATTTCCCAATAGTTTTATATTGTTCTCATTTTTATAAAGTTTATTATAAAAATATAAAAACATCTTAGCCAGGCTCGGTGACTCAGCCCGTAATCCTGTGCTTTGGGAGGCCGAGGTGAGTGGATTGCCTGAGCCTGCAGGTTTAAGACCCACCTGGGCAACTTGGCGAGACCTCATCTCTACAATAAATCAAAAAATTAGCCGGGTGTGGTAGCACGCACCTGTAGTTCCAGCTACTTGGAAGGCTGAGGCGGAAGGATTGCCGGAGCCCAGCAGGTTGAGGCTGCAGTGGCCGGGAGCAGCCACTGCACTCCAGTCTGAGTGACAGAGTGAGACTCCAACTCAAAAAAAAAAAAAAATATATAGATATATAAACATATTATTATGTGTAAACACTAACTGTATCACATAATTTATGTGCAGCCCAAGGCAATTCCTCTTTCCTTGATGTGGCACAGGGAAACCAGTGGGTTGAATGCCCCTGGTGTAGTATGTTCTTCTGCTGCCAACAGTTTTTAGTTAATTTCCATAAAACATTAGCACCAACGATCTACATACACAGTGGCCAGATTATCTGTCTGGATCCGTTCTTGGCCCTTCTCTGCCTTTATCTATGTCCCAGAAGATGACCTCAGTAGTCATTAATCAAGGCACTTTGACTTTGAGTTGGTTTCAGCTAAAGTGAGATGCCAGCAGGAGACCTGGGTCCTGGAAGGAAGTGGCCAGAGAACCTGCTCCGTATTGCCTTCCTGCTGGCTGTGGTCTGGAGGCGGGTACATGCCTGGGTTAGGCCAACTTCTGCCGTTGACTGCAGCACTTTTCCAGGGTCCTGCTACAAGGGCTGCTCCTCTCCACCTCCTTTTATGCCTGATGGTGCTGTCGGCATCTCCCCATTGCCAGCCCAATAATGCTTCACCATCCCCTGTTGGGTTTTAGTAGTTTTGTCATATCTTTGTAAATGGTGCTTTTATTCTTCTGAGTTTCCCAACTATTTGCTGCCATGACCCTGACCTCTATATACTCATTTAACATCTCAGATCATGATCAGTACACAAATGGTGTATGAACATAATAACTGCAATATTCTTTATGTGATACTTGCTTAGAAAAGCAAGTATGGGGTAAAAAAGAAGGAAGACCAACATGGGTTAATTATTTGATGAGCTGGAGAGGGACAAGGTGGATAAAATATGCTCTTTATTCTGTGTTCACCATGTTTACTTGTTTTACTAGGTAGCTGTAAAACATTAAATTTATCACAGTATCAGCAATTACTTTTTTTCCCTGCTAGCCCATATAATAATACTTGTTCTGGGAGTTAGTAGCATCTAACCTAATTAATCCAATTCTCTAAATTAATATATAAATATTTGAAAAGTTTTGTTAAAATTA